TGACTGCGTGACCTGAGCGTCGCATGACAATTGCATCACCGCGCATTGGCCACAATCCCCCGCAACACCACAACCACATATCGTCGACTTCCTGCCCTTCGCTTACATGACTGCGCAGGCCTGCTTCTGGCACTGCTGCAGATACCCTTCATCTTCATCCGTACCAAGCGCACTACCAGCTTTCCGCACCACTCCCTTGACTGTTATCGTCTGATCACCTTCTGCATGCCACCACCGCAGTATCTGCTGCAATGCCCCGCCCGTTTCTTCCGAAGTAATCGTCCACTTGCCCCCGCTGACCTCAACACTTGTCTGGCCTGACGGGAAGTGGAATTCGGGCAGGTAGCACACCGTTGGAACATCCTCTGATGTCGAACTTGGCGCGCAGAGTGCAAGCTTGAAAGTGCAGTTCTTGAGGTCAAACCCGTAAGATGAGATGTCTCCATGCACTGCCACAGGTGTGGGACGGATAAAGGCCTCTGCGGCCCGAAGTCCAGCCACATCGCCCTCGGTTCGTGTCGAGCTCATTTGCTCCACGGAAACTGTCTTTTGCAGGTTGGTGGGCGTGACGCTGAGTGTATCCGATGACTGAGCCCGCGAATATGTCGGTGAATTCTTGTCGAGCGATGCCCGAGAGTCTTCTGGTGAAAAAGGCCCTGCTGGCACTGCCTTATCATCCAACGAAAATATCGATAGATCCTCTCCGTTCCACTGGTCACCACGGTAATGACAGTTCTATATTCACATTAGTTTTGCAACACCCATAACTGCAGTCCAACTTACGTTGACAACATAGGTCCATAGCGCGAACCCATTGGCCATGCTGTCTTCAAGTGCAAAGTGGTTGGCATCCAGTGCCGCTATCTGGCTGCTGTAGTTGCCTGTTTTATACGCATACTTGTCGTCCATGTCGTACGGTATGCCAATTTCAGTGAAAATGCAAGGGTGCACTCCCATATATTCAATACCCTCTTCTCGGATCGCTTTGAGTTGGTGTGAGAAGCAGTTTCGAATGGCAGTCTCTCCAACCTTGATGGCGAATGCCGGCGTCAGATATTTTCCTCGCAGCACCCCAAAAACATCCACGTTCCACACTCGGTTCCTACATCCTGTTAGATAGAGTCACCAACTTACAAACATCAAAACATACCATTTTTTCATGATCAGAGTAATGCCGTCGTAGAAATGAGGCGAGAAGATGATATTGGGATCGTCATCCTCGGTACCCTTGATGTTTGGAGGTATCTCAAGCACTGGAGGCTGGAAGAACATCAACGAGTCTGGGAAGATAGACTTGACCATTTTGCTGTAAGCCCGGTAATGAGCCAGCCAGTAGTGGTTCGTAAAGTATTCGTAGTTGATCTTAGCGCCATTCTTGGGGTCGATTCCAAAGTAGTCCTTTTTCAGCACTGTGTCGGTCTTTGGATCCCATACCCCATGTTGCGCCCACAAGCACTCACCCAGACGCCACCCGGCGTCACGCTTCCAGCCGTATTTGGTGTCGTCGTAATCCTTCGACAGCCATGCTTGTGTCCCCTCAGGATCTACTAAAACCGATCCGCTCTTGTAAGGTCCCAAGCCACCAAAGTCCCAAGTCGCGATCTCGCAAGCCCTACCAGATCCGGTAAGTATTGCCTGCCAAGCTGTCGGCGAGGTCCCCTTTTGTAGCTTTTGTTCGCTGGGAATCTGCGTAATATCTTGATAGCTGATGAGGCCTCTGTTAGGCTCGTTCATGCTTTCCCAACCAATTACTGGGTCGTGCCAGAGGTCACCAGCTTCGTGTATACGCTTCGCAAGATGCTCGCATGCGCCGATAAAGTGCTCTTGCAAATAGTCCTGTATGTTTTTGCCGTCTATGATGGCCTTTGGGGCAAAGTCCCTGCCACCAAAGAACAGAGTCCACATGACTTGACATACCAGGCGGGTGTAGTTGGTCGTCCAGATCATCTTGGGATAGGTCGCAGGGTCTGGGTACGTGTTATGTACGATGGCAGCTTCAGTAACCGAAAAACGCTCCGGATCCAGACCGCAGGCATAAAGAGTCCACATGGGTGCCCCGGAGCCTCCAGAGAATCGTGACCACTGGGTGACGTGTTAGGAAAGAGATATTCAAGTACATTGGAATGCTACCTACGACATCCTGGTGGGGATCCATGAATATGTAGAAGCCATACTCTTTGGCCTTTCGTAGCACAGCAATGGTGTGGTCTATCCACTCCTCATCGTACTTTCCTGGTCCAGCATGCTCTATCGCCTCCCAGGTAAAGACGTAGCGGATGGTGTTGTACCCCCAACTCCGTAACCGCGAAAAGTGTGTTGCCGCATCGTCCAGGGAAAACGGACGGTTCACAAAAGAAACGTTGTCTCCGTCGAAAAAGTTATCAGGTATGTGTGAGGGTTGGTTAGGATTCGCAGGGAACTTGGCATCGGCGGCACAGTTGATGCCATGCAGCGTTACTTCGCGGTCATGGGAGTCGCGGAATGTACGTCCATCGATACGCAGGCGGATGGAAGACATTAGTGAGGTAGATATATAAGTACGGCAAGCAGGAGGCAGAGTTCACGGGTAGGAGAGGCGGATAGTGAGGATATAGCGGAGGAGTATGGAGATAGGCCAGCACTAGCCCACCCGTGTCCACATGCATGACGCACCACTAGCGTACCTGGAGTGCCTGGGGTCCAAGGATCGGGGTGGCCCCTGCACCACCGCCTCGACATCAGGACAAGTTGCATGAACGGAAATAACAATCGCATATATTAACCTTTGCCCTGTTTCACTCCCTTCGCTCATGCCTAAATAAACTGCTCCTGCCGCTGCCACCTTGCGCGGAATATATCCTCTCTCAGGCCCTTGCCTGCCTACAATCTCTCGTTATTTGTACATTCGCCACCACACCAACGTCGCAACATGATATTTCGACTTTCCTCGTTAGCCCTCGGGCTGCTCCCTCTTGCAAGCGCTCTGTCCGCCGCTGACATTCCCGCGGACACGCCCGTGTCGCAGCTGGTCAAAGATGCCACCGTGCAGATGGCGACTGGAAATACCCAGGATGCCCTCACCTACTTCGATGTGGCCATCTCCCGTGACCCGCGCAACTACCTCACCTACTTCCGACGCGGCGCTGCCTACCTCCAAATCGGCAAGACAATTCAAGCAGAGCAGGACTTCAATAAGGTGCTAGAACTGAAGCCTGGCTTCGAGGGCGCATTGGTGCAACGAGCAAAGATAAGAGCAAGGAAGGCTGACTGGGCTGCGGCGCGCAAGGACTACGAGGCAGCCGGTAAGCCTGATGAAATCGCCCAGCTAGAAGAAGCACAGGCTGCGGCTCTTATCGCACAAGAGGCTGCCGAAAAAGGCGACTGGGACTCCTGCATCACCAATGCAGGCGCTGCCATCGTGGTCGCAAACGGCGCATACGATATCCGTAAGACAAGAGCACGCTGTCGCTTCGAGAAGGGTGAGGTCGTCGAGGGTATCAGCGACCTACAACACCTTCTTCAAATCAACACGGGCGACATTGAGCCTCACCTTCAAAGCTCCGCCATGGCCTTCTACTCTCTCGGCGAAACCGACAAGGGAATCAAGCATATTGCCCAATGTCTTCAATCAGACCCAGACTCCAAGGAATGCATGAAGTTGCGCAGGAGAGAAAAGAACCTTGAAAAGGACATCAAGAAAGTGCGCAAGTTTTTCGAAAAGCGCCAATACGCCACCGCATCAAAACTCCTCATCGACCGCGGCGAGTCAGACCCAGGCCTCTTGAAGGAGGTCAAACAAGACTTCAAAGACTACACAGAAAAGGGCTACATCTACACCAACTCCCCTCAGGGTCTCTACCAAAACCTCGTCGAAATGACATGCGAAGCCTACGTCGAAATGAACAACCTGAAAAAAGGCACCCCCTACTGCAAAGAGGCCCTCCAACTCAACCCCAACTCCCTCCACGGCCTCATCCACAAAGCCCAAGGCCAACTCGACGCCGACGACTTCGAAGACTGCATCCGCACCCTCGAACTAGCAGCCGAACACCACCAGCACCAAAAGATCGACGAACTCCTCCAAAAAGCCCGCACCCTGCTCAAGCGCTCAAAGGAAAAGGATTACTACAAGGTCCTCGGCGTGACTCGTGACGCCGACGAGCGCGAAATCAAGAAGGCGTATCGCAAGCTCAGCAAAATGTACCACCCGGATAAGGCAGCCTCGAACAACATGACACCAGAGGATGCGCAGAAGAAGATGTCGGATGTTAATGAAGCTTACGAAGTCCTGTCTGATCCGGAGCTCAAGGCAAGATTTGACCGTGGTGATGACCCTAATAGCAATGAGCAGCAGCATGGCAATCCCTTCCAGGGCTCGCCGTTTGGCGGCCAGCAGTTCATGTTTAGGCAGGGTGGCGGCGGTGGGTTCCCCGGTGGAGGTAACTTCAAGTTCCAGCAGGGTGGTGGGTTCCCTGGTGGAGGGTTCCCTGGTGGCTTTCCCTTCTAGATCAATTAAACTTTTACTTCTTCATACTTTTGCTGGGGATTTTAGTTTTCGATTTTGAGCGCGGGGTTATTAGTGCAGGTGGACATTACGGACTAGAGCATATTGGCGTTTTCTTTTTATGTATTTTGTGATATCATGGTAGCTACTGAGAGATGAATTCATGGTTTTATGGTTACATGATTTTCTCTTCTTTTCCCTCCACAAGACTATACCCGTGCGTATATGTACGTGTGTGTGTGTGTGTGTGTGTGTGTGTGCATAGCATAGCCCCATCAACCACAAGATGTGTCTTGTTTCTTCTCAGGTGCTTTCCGTCAAACCAGTTTCGACATTTTTTCCATCGGCAACTTCTCTCATGATAGGACTCAGGCTGAGCAACCCAGGGCCGAATTTTTTCACGAGGTGTTACTGAACGCACAGCAACCAAGGCCGGTATCAATTCCTCAAAGTAGTCGGTTCCTCGAAGACAGGTGAGATCACTAAGGCCGATGGACAGAGGAGTCATACAGTACGCCCAAATATCAACCACGAGCCGGCGGGCTGGTGAGCCTTTGGGAGTGCCGTCATAAATGATCTTGACACTTTTGTCGTTAGGAAGAACTTTGGGTTTACTAGAAAAGTTCTCGATCATGAAGTCCAGGACAGCGTTCTTGAACGTTTGGTCCACCAACTTCTCGCCAAGAATAAAGAGTTGGCACGTGATTTTGGAGGTGGTCCAGGGGTTCTCACAACAAGAAATCTTGCCTGAGTAAAGCCATCGGCAGTATGTTTCGACGACTTTGGGGTCCTCTTTAGAAAAATCGATTGGACAGTTCTTGTCGGCACGCCATTCTAGCTTCATGACATTCTTCAGAAAGTCCGAGGTGGATATAAGGACCTCTGTATGCACATGAATCTGGCCACCTTGAATCGATATAGGCACAGTCTCTCCCATGATGCTGAAAGCCTTAGTAAACATTTTTTGATCAATTTTCTGTGGGCGCACATCACTTAGGACAGTAATTCTCTATCGGTTTTTAGGTCGGCCATGGTTTGCGCGCGCTTTGCCTTCGGCGTCTCTGGTGTGTCAGACATCTCAACTGAAAACGCTGCAGTATAGTGTCAGTACAAGGCAACTGTGTGTTCCTTGTAGTAAAAGATCGGAAATACTTACAGTCACGATAGCGGACGCTTTGCCTTCTTTCAGTGCGAGATTTCACAAGCGGGGCAAAAGATTGCTCGAGGGTAAGTGGAAGTGGGGAGCAGGTCTTTTCCCAAACTGAACTAATATATTGTAAGTGAGGCGCTAGCGTGATACTGACGTGAAGGTGATGACCAGTCACCGTGACTTGGTGAAACGTGAAGGCAATATCAAAGTCACATTCAGCGATAATGCTGGACCAATAAGTGAGGTTAAATAGCTCAGGTGTGGTAGCGTAGTTTTACTGCACCAGGCGGCTGACTAGGGAAGTGTTTACATATCTATCTCTACTCTATACTTTGTTTATCCTTTAACAAGATTTAGAGCACTTTGTCTAACTCTAGCTATAGCTTATACTTATGTTAGTCATATCCTTTTATAATTTTCTCTTTATTCTCGGCTTTATCCCAGTCGTTGTCTAAGTAGTCTGTTCTATGACTAGTAGCGTTATCACAAGAACTGCTTATCTACTCCGCATTTAAGCCTTCGCGACTATAGAGGTCTAGGGTACTATATCTATACTAGTACTCTAGTAGCATCTGTGAGCCTGGTAATAGCTAGGTTATGTGGATGACTTTACCTTGTTTGCTAAGAATCTTCTAATCTTAGGCTACTAGGTCGAGTGACTAATTTATGTAAATCGCGAAGACGTATAATGATTGTTACGATTAAGGACCTGTTTAGAATAGTGTAGAGCGTAAGATTAGTTATCTAAGAAGATATGCTAACTACATTCATGTGCAGAGATGTAGTGACAGAGGAGAGAGCCGAGTGCATTAAGGGTAACCAGCTCCAACATCATCACGTCTAGTGTCATGATATAGTGCATGCACCATAAGTGCACCACATGATGGTCCTAAGTGTAATTGACTCAGCCTTATCATACGCTGAAAAGATGGACCAAGTTTGGGTTTAGTAGCAATCCTAATTTTTCGTCTATCTACTGTTACTATTTGCCTTATCTTGGACTTCTCGTGCCCTTTCTTCAGCTCATGATAGCGCCGTCTGGCCGAAGTCGATCTTAGAACCCACCCCGATGCACCCGCCTCACGCGAGGAGGGACTTGTTCACGCTCTGTTTCGCTAAGAACTTTACCTCCGCCTTGTACGCTCTCTAGGCCGCTCTCCACAGTAGTGTCTATCGGGCCTTTCCTTGGTTTCCTTGGTTTCCTTGGGTTCCTTCAGCAGCAAACTTACTCCTCCCCCCGTCCGCTGTGACCCTTTGTCTCGTCTTGAATCTGACGTACCTCCCCTCCATCCTTTCTATCTCTTCTCCAATAACCCTAACCACAGCTGATGGGCAGAATAGCAGACTTTCTCCAAGCTTTAGCCGAACAATCTCATGGAACAACTCTGTATCGTTCTCAGGCACTTCTGCCTTCTCGTCGCCACTTGTGCCAGCCTGGGAAGACTTCGGCAAGTTCAGATAAAGAGCTGCAACATGTCGCTTGAGCACATTGAACCATGCAGGACTTGTACATCTGTGCACCATCGTGATACTGCACAGATCCAACAACTGCGTGTTGATGCTAGGTTCCTGGGTTGCAATCACAACCCTGACAGCTTGATGTCGCTGCTCACGCACTGTGCGCAACAGCTTCTCGGTGAAGGCTTTAGCCGCACCACTGCCTTCCGTCATATAGTTGTGTGCTTCGTCTAGAGCGACAATCTTTCCGCACTGTGTCTGCTGAACAAATACAGAGAGGCATATGTCGAAGAGGACGCAAGCAGAATCAGCGTCGATGACAGGATCCGTCAGGTCCACAATGGTGAGAGAACCTGGCGTGCAAGCCAGGAAGTCGTTTTCAGTGTTTGCTAGAATATCAGAGCTGTTCTTGCTACGTTTCATGAATGATTCCAGCAGGTCAAGGCGGAGTTTCATGGGACCATCTTGGCCGCTAGTGAACTTGGTAGCTGATAGCTCATTCTTGAAGGTGATGTAGTCGAAGGTACCAAGACCTTGTGATTTAATAGCCATTTTGCGAAGAATCATGAGTATTGTCTAGTTGAGTTAGCGCATCTTCATTAGGAGAGGAAAGGGAAACTTGCCTGCATATACAACGGCACCTCATCCTCTTTCCCTATGGCCATCAAAGTCTTCATCCTTTCCGTATCGAGGTATTTTGGCAAGACATAAAGCTGTTTGACAGAAATTTTTGCATCCTGTTTCTCTGCCATAGCTTCATATGCTCTCTTCAGCCTACCATAGTTGCTCGGGCTTACAAGAACAGTCGTCGGAATGTTGGTGCAGAGATAAGCGGCCTCACAAACTCCGCTGCCCTGGCACCGATCGTAGTGAAACACCAGTCCAGCAAGTGGGTGAGGATTTAATCCAACTCGAGGAAGGATCGTTTTGTCGGTCAATAGACAGTTTTCGAGCATGCACGACAGAGTATGCGATTTTCCAGACCCTTGAGAACCGCAGAGGAAAGCAGACCAGGGTGAATCGGTGTTCAGTAAAACTGGGGTTCGCGTTGCGCTAATAGGGACGGATGCGTCGTCTTGTGGTATGTTGTCAGCCTCTGGAACATGGCCTAATACTGCGTAGCCACGTTGAACCTGTTGCTGGGGCTCAACATGCTCTTTCGCATTCCACCAAACAAGGGGTGACATTCGAAGTTCTTCTACCATTGGGTCGATCGTATTCGTTTCATCAGGGTCAGTGTTTTGACGATCTCGGAGTACCGGTTGGTACCGGATTAGCTCTGGTGAACTTGCCATCTTACCAGATCTTGCATGTGATAGAAAACAGCTACTGCGAGACCTGGTGCAGTGATATAGTCTAGAGATATTCTGATTTAGAGCAAACTAAGATTAGTTTCTCGTATGTTGTATTTGTGAAGATCCCAGCAGTCTTTGAAGCAAACAAAACCTGAAAGACATACGAAAAATTGTGTGTACTCGCAAGCACTATTCATTCACTATTATACAGAGCGGGAATAGGTACTGTTAAAGCTGATGTGCGGTATCAGACAACGTCTCGATCGAACACGCTAGACTTGAGTTGAAGACTTTTAGGCGGCTCGAGGCGTGTGAAGCTGGGCCTAAAATGGCTCGGACTGCCAGATTCACAATCGCCGTTGATCACAATGGTATTGCGGTAGCTGTTGAGCGCAAGGGGTAATAGCCATGCGTTGTCGTGTGATTCGCTGCGGCCTGCCGAAAACAGATGGTTTTTCTGTAGGTTTGGTGTAAGAACATCCGTGACTGGTAAAGTGCGTCTTTAGATGAAAAGACGCACTGCGTCGCGAGTCCAGTTGTACTGCGGGCCTTTAATGCTTCCATACCTGTGGGTTCGTAAGGCTGTCATGAATCTGTCATAATCAAGTGGTATTTGCTCCTTAAGGAGATCAGCGTCAGACGTAAATCACCGCTTTGTTAGCCGTAATATTGATTGTTTTGTCACCGCCGTCAATTAACTCCTTAGCAACACCTCCTTGTTCATTGGCGACTCTGATGACCACTTGAGCGCTCGGGGGTTGTGTAGAGAACGCAACGAAGGAAGATCGATTCCCCAGGCTCGTGAGACCATTCTGACATAGGAGTGAGCATGCCGGGAGCCTTGTAGTACGAAGCAGGATATCTTTGGAAACGAGCCCGGGCTCACCGGCCGGCGCTTAGATAGATAAAGCGATTTGCTACCGTAGCCGCCTAAGGCACATGACGGTCCGGCACGGTTCCCTGACTAAATCACGGCTAGTGTAGGAATGTAGCAATGTATCAACGTTACTCGGATTGGAGGGACGGCCCACAACACACTTCCAATAGTGGTCATCCGTGTAGGACCTTGCTTTTACTCTGCACAAACACAGTCGCTGCCTCAGGTTGGTGTCTCACCGTGCATCATCACGGTATCGAGACCTCCGATTCGTTTCGAAATCTCCTGATTGGTAATCTGCACGGCAGAGCATGCAGGGTAATCAGATAGTGCAATATGGGGTGACTTAAATCTCTCAAGGTCTGCCAGCTAGTTCCTTTGTCAAGACTCTTTTAGCTCCTTAGCTTTCATGGCTCTTCCTTGCTTTATCTGCGATCGCATGAAAACGGGCAATCCCACCAAACATAAACATCTTACGACAAAAGGGTCGATAAGCACCTGTCTCCTCTGCAATCGAGAATTTTGTGAAAGCCACAAAGGTGGATCAGATGGAACTTGCGAGATCAATCATGTAACATACTGTGGTGTAGTATCACATGATTAGATCGCGGGTATATATAACGATTTTCTTTCGTACGTAAATAGACACCTTCTTCAATCAATCTTTTGGCAACGGTTAGATTTCAGCTTTTTTCTATCTTCATTGCGAGTCTCCCCTTGATATTTTGAGCTCGATCACGTATTGTGCCACAATACTACAATAATCATCCAAACTTGGATGATGTATATCCGACGCTAACGGAGAGGCATGAGATTGTAAGTTCCCTGCTTAAAATTAGAGAGATCCATGCAATATTAACCGTAGGCTAGGTTGGCTCAAGTAGTGTGAACACGATGACGGATTGAACGAACAAATGGAATCTTGACGATTCATTACGTTGAAACATTTGTCAGAAACGGAAGTTTAACGAAAATCATGACTTACTTTAAGTCTTTCGCATAGCCTGCTTAAATTTGAAGACACGGCGAGGTTTCTTTAGGTCGTGACATAACTGTTACATCCTACGGGCACCCCCTTGTCCTTAAAATACGTACTGGAAGAGTTGAAGTTGCATATGCTAATGGGACACCCCGTGAATGTTAAGCGCATGCCTCTTGAGGTCCATCACATTCACCAATGTATCCAAAAATCTAGGATATCGAGATTAGAACTTTAATCAAAGTTCAATGAGTCGGAAATGCGTCTCCAGATGCTTCCTTGTAACGTATTTTCGTGGAATGTAGCGTGCTCTGCCTTCGGCATCTCTGTCGTCTCAGACGTGATGAGCTGAAAACGCTGCAGTATATTGCCAATATCAGATGGCCGTCAATCGCTTGTGGTAAAGACTCCACAATACGCACAGTTGCGACAGCTGTTCATGCATCTTGATCCAGAGTGAGCTTTCACAACCAGGGCGAAGAGTCTCTTTAAAGCGGATGGAGTTGAGGAGGAGGTTGTGTTCCAGATCTAGAGGGCATGTTGTTAGTAGGACGCTAGTGCTGATATGGACGTGGAAGTAAAGGCGGGTCACTCTAATTTCATAACTGATAAAAGAAGTATGCAAATGTCAGACAGGGAAGACTGTTTAGCGTCGAGTGAAGCAAAGTAGCTCAGATTCTCAAGAAGCGTTGGGACGAAGTGGACTGTTACGTCACAATCAACAGTCGACAAAGGAAGGAGTGATCATAAACATTCAATTATGAACTTGGGAGTAAGATAACTCTACGGAAATGCATGCAAAGAAGTAGCTCTTGAAAAAAGCATGAAAAATCCCTCTGGAAATCATCGTGCAGTATTTACAACTATTACAAATGCAATGTTTCTTGATAAATTAGTTTCACATATTGAAGCCATTGCTGAGAGTTGAATTACCACACAACATAAGAAAATTCTATGTGATTTGCTATATACACCATTCTAGCACCGATAAAAATGGCAAATGCAACCCTTCAGGATTCGATGGGAGTGGGCACTTAATTTGCCTCACCAAAATCACTATGTCCTGTCTCTGTTGCATGCTGGATCGCTCCTCGTTCTCCAGCTCCCTTCCAGCCACAGGTGTTGCACTTGATATCGAATTTCTGCGTATCGGTGTAGTAATGTTGTTTTTGGAGTTGGCGACAGAGTTCTCGTGCAGCCTCGAGAATGACATCATCGTTGGCATCAAAAAGCTTGATGTCTTGAGAAGGATCTTGAGGCGAAACCCCACGCGGAACCAGAGCGATAGTGTCGTAATGGATACCAGAATATACAAGGATACAGCGGCGCGGTCGACCCTCATTGAAGCGGTCTACTCGGTTATCCTGCACGTTGACACTGGCTATCTCGATATCGAATTCTTGGGAGAGAATACTGAGCTCGATTCCACCACCCCAAGAGTCCGAGTATGATATCCATTTGCAGTATTCGTCGGGAGACCGTTGCAAGATTGCTTCATTGTACTGTTCGGGGTCTCTTTGTATAGCTTGGGCGACCATAGACCGAAGCTCGGTCATGGAATCTAGCGAGTCGGAGAGAACAGCACTTCCAAGAGCTCGGAACATGCACGAGTTATCATCCGGCATTACTCTCAGGACAATGGTGCCAGCACGGTCGGGTACAGGGACTTCGGGAGTGTCTTTGAGTGCCGAGTTCTGTTTGCGTTGTAATGACAGGGGTGCTGACTGAGATGTAGCAGACTGGAGTTCTTGTTCTGCTTTCCGTTCACTTGGATCGCCAGTAGCTTTGCCAATGACGATGATGGATGCGCCATTGAGTTTAAGGTCAATGTCTTTCAATAACGTAGACATTCCGTATAGTGAAGGATCGAGCGGTTGGGGCGGGTGGTTCCATTTTAATTCGAAGAGTGGGAGTTCTGTCTTTTCGCTGATAGATGATAGAAGGTCGGAAACGGCGGCATTATCGTCGAGGGAGAGAGTGTGGGTGCCGTTGGGCGCGCGTAATCGGAGGCGAACGGGCATGGCGATAGAAGTTGATACTGGCAATTGCGGAACAAAAATGTCTAAGACTATATACTGTGTAGTGACAACTGTTACAAGTATAAGAGCCCTGACGGCGTGGAGTGGTGGAGGTAGTGGGGCGCTTTGGCGGGACGCAGCGGTGCAGTTGTCACAGATAGCAAGTTGCGATGGGCGAGTAGGAGGCGGGTGGGAAAGAAGTTTCTTCACGCAGGAGCAGGCACTGTGAATGTTGTTGTAAGGAGAGCATATGTAGTTTGTCAGCTATGGCATTAGCTACTCGCTAGAAGCGACAGTTGGCGCGAACAAGTGGCACGGCGCAAGTGAATGTTCGGGAACCCTAGAGTTGGCCGAGGCGGAGATGTGCGACAGGCATTCTCGGATAATCTTAACGCCGGCGCCGCTCCGCTCCAGTCGCGACTTTGTATCCACGACGCGACAACCCCAACACCAAAGAAGGGAGACGACGGCGCAACACCACAACACCAGGTGTTCCATCGCAGCAATGGCGTCCGCACGCGCGCCGAGCTCAACGCCGGTTCCCACAACCGAAACGGCCGAATCCTCTGGGGCAACTTCCACTGTGACGGAGCAAGAATGGGAGGCCATGGCCAACTTGCTGAAGAACGTCTATGACTACAGGATCGACGAGTTAGTAGTTGATCTGGACGAGCTCATATGCTGTTGCTGACATATCCTCAGTGGCACCTATGACCCCACAAAACTCTTCCAGCGCAAAGTGAATAAGCGCGCCGTGCCCGACTACTACGACATCATCAAAGAGCCCATGGCCCTCAGCACTATCAAATCTAAGATTGGACAGAAGGAATACAAGAACTTTCCCGAGTTCGTCCGCGACCTGGCTCTCATACCCCACAATGCGCAAGTGTACAATAGACAGGACTCGCAGGCCTATGTGGATGCGCTTGAAGTAAAGAAGGTCATTGAACGCGAGCTTAAGCGCCTTGTTGACGATAAGATCGTATCTGAGGATATTGCGACTCTGCCTTTTCTGGGTGAGATTCCAGAACAGGATCCGCTACTACCAGAAGATGAAGAGGAGGAGGAGGAGGAAGACGATGAGGAAGAACTCGAAGTTGACGAAGAAGATGATGACGAGGACGAAGAGGACGACGGGAAGCGCAAAAGGAGAAGGCCTGCGCGGTCCGCAGCAGCTAACGCCAAGCGTGAAGGAGGCTCGAGAGCGGCAAAGGAGGACGCCAAGAATGACGATCCAGAGTCTAGGAAGAAACGCGGGCGTCCGCCGCGGGTTGATACACCTATGGAGGCACGAATCAAAGCCATTATGAAAGCCATCCGGAAGCCTCGCAATCAGCAGAACAAGCTCATGGTTAGCGCATTCGAGCGTGTCCCTGACAAGACGGTCATGCCCGAATACCACTCTGAAATCAAGAACCCTATGGCCATGGACATTTTGAAGCGCAAACTCAAGCGGAAGAAGTACAACTCGGTAGATCACTTCATGGTAGATGTGGAGCTTATGTTTGAGAATGCGAAGGAATACAACGAGGAGGATAGCCAGATTTACAAAGACGCCGTGCACCTTCAAAAGGAAGCGCGCAAGGTCGCAAAAGCTGAGAAAGAGAAGCCAGACACCGAGTACGTCATGGAAGAAGGACGTATACCCATGCCTAGTGGCATCGTTCATAACGGAGAGTTGTGGAAGGTTGGCGATTGGGTCCACATTCAGAACGCGAACGACCTTACAAAACCCATTGTCGCTCAGATTTATCGTACATGGCAAGACGCTAGTGGTGGCCAGTGGGTGAATGCTTGCTGGTACTACCGTCCAGAGCAGACTGTGCATCGTTTCGATAAGCACTTTTTCGAGAACGAAGTTGTCAAGACTGGCCAGTATCGAGACCACCGCATTGATGAGGTCGTAGATCGATGCTTCGTCATGTTCACAACAAGATACAACAAGGGGCGCCCGCGCGATTTTCCCTCTGACAAAGAGATCTACGTCTGCGAAGCCAGGTACAATGAGGAAAACCATAAGCTTAATAAGATCAAGACCTGGGCCAGCTGTCTCCCAGATGAAGTTCGAGACAAGGACTATGTTATGGATTTGTTCGACGCGCCACGAAAGCTGAAAAAGGTGCCTAGTCCGATTGCATACCTTCTCAAAGACGACCAAAAAGAGGACGACGATCTCCCAAAGCCAGAGTGGGGTGCTGAAAATGCGCCTCCGAAGATTGGCGCTGTCCATCGTCGTCCACGCGACCCAAAGGTAAGTGACCAGAACTTCACACAACCACACACTGTCACTCACAATAATTATAGGATTCGCCTCCTCCCAGACCCACTCCACCGCCATCTCCAACACCACCACCTGCGCCTGTGATGCCAACGCCAAGCTTGCCCACTCCTTCGGCACATGGCTTCGAAGCATCAAGAAACTATCCTATAGCTCAGCCGCCTGCCCTCACCCCAATGCCTGCACCAACACCACAACAACATCATGTGCCTCCCACATACACTCCGACTCACGCGACACACTATCATGCTCATTCTCAGTCACCCGCTCCGCACATGCACCATCAGGCTCCTCAGGTACCTGCTTACCAGCCAATAACGCCACATGTTCCCTTCACGCCTCAGCCTACAGCACCTATGCAGTCCTTCCAGACGCCGCGACCTACTCCGGGCTATCAACAACCGTACCTCCAGCAGATGCCTCCCAACTACAAAGCACCACAACCCGTTGAGGTCTATGTTATGGCCGATCACGCAAACAATAGCATACCGCCTGAAATACGTGAGCAGTTCCAATGTGACGAGAAGGGTCGCGTGCTCTTCTTCACCGCTCCTCCACTCAATATCGAGCAGCCGCTTACAAAGGATGGACGCACACTAGGACACTCGGCACGCTACCTAGCAGCCAAGGTGAAGAAAGAAGCTATGAAGGCTGCGAAGCGCAAGGCAGGGGAAGCCAGTATTGATGAAACCAGGGAAGCGGCCAAGAGAGCGAAGGCGGCTGAAGAAGAACAATTCAAGAAGGCCGTCTCTGATCTCAATACTAAGGCACTAAAGGCACTAGAGGATCAACTCGCAGTAGCTACAAAGTCAGATCTTGCAACTTTGTTCAACGGCCAGACTGAGGAGGGAATCGCAAAGGTTTTGGATCAGCTTACTCTTGTCCAAAGTGTGACAATGCAGAGGGAGCTGGAGCGCGAGCTGCATGCCTTGGAAAAAGAAGAGAACAGACGTGTGACTGTGACAGGTATGACGGCCAGGTTGGAGGAGAATTACTAAGGGACCATTGTACGATTTGTTGTGTTTCTGATATCCGTTGTATGTCTAAATGGAGACCGCGGCGTTTTTATGTGGTAAGCTCAAAGATTGTTCTAGTATACGGGGTATTATTCTTCCATGGATACAGTCGACTGTAAGTTGAGACATTTGGGGATGTTCTAAGATAGGTCTATTAGAACAGGCTCTTTTTCCCCCGACTTTGCTCTCTGATATTCTTCCCACGTCTCGCGACGCAAAGCTACTTCGTTCCCGTATTCCCTCGCCTTTTGCAATATAAACTCGGCATCTGGCCATGGTACTTGCTCTTTTACCAAGGCCGGGTCAGCTCCATTTTCGAGAAGAAATCTGACACCTGGCAAGGGACTGTCACTCGTACCCCGGTACCCCGTCCTTGCGGCATGACAAAGAGCAGTAACTGGCTTCCCATCCAGTGGCACGCCATTAACCCGCGCGCCATACTGGAACAGTATACGCGCGAGGTCGTAGCGCTGATAATACACGGCCCATCTTAGTGAAGTTTTTCCGCTCGAGACATTCGGATCGATATACTCGTTCTCAACCAAGAACCGGAGAACAGATGGCGTTGCGTGGTTGTAGATATACCGCATCTCACTCTTAGTCAGAAAACCCCCATACCTTTTCCGTTTCTCGAGTATCTCGCGTACAAAGCCCTTATCCGGATATTTTACCGCTTCCTCGAGTAATCGCTGTGTCCCAAACCGTCTGCACGTTTTTACATTCGGTCCGGCGTGGAAGCGGTCCAGGAGAATTTTCCCCGTCTCCCACTGACCCATTCGCATCGAAATGCACAGCGCGACCCAATCACTCAATTGCGGAATCTGCTGCGAAATGCATCCCCGGCTGGTCTCGCCGTAAGCTTCTTTAAGAGTCCGGGTGGACTCGAGTTGCAGGATTTGTTGGACCAGGTCGACGTTGCCGCATGCGCATGCTGTTTCCAGGGGGCTAGGGAGCACAGACCGGCCTATGCGGAGGATAGCGGGATTATCTCGGGTGTGCTCTATGAGGCGCGAGTTTTGCTTTGTTGCGGCGAGGGCGGAGGGAAGGGTGAAAGTTACGGATGGCCACGTTTTGGTCATGGGAGAATTACTAAAGAGCAAGTAGCGGAGGCCTTTGGCGTTTCTGCTGGATACAGCTTGGCTAATTTCCATGGTGTATTTTTTGCGTAGGTCATCGGTCACGGGGCCTTCCTCGAGGCTCAAAACGGCATCCACCAAGTCTCTTAAGTACTTGATGCCTGGTAGCAAATCATCTTGCTGTCTGCGGAGGACTTCGTTTCCGATTATGGTGCTGCCATGTTGCGCGAAGAGTTTGTCAAAGCGTGCATTGTCAATAGCAATGGTAATGTGACGGTCTGTCGGGTCCCCCAGCTTGCGCCTATCTTCGGAATACGCGATGAGTGGCTGGCGCATGAGGATTTGTTCTTGGATTACATGTGCGAATAGCCCTATACAAGTTAGCGGACCATGTACTTATAGTGGTTTAATAAAGGTACGAGTACGGCAAACAAGGCGGTATTGCGAAGCAAAAAGTGGGCTGACATCGCTAACAAGATACTCGAAGATGCGCTCCACAAGTTCACAGGGAAGTTCGATGATTTTCATGCTGGGTTGGTGTCTTCGTTCAAGATGGTGTATATGTGTTTTGCATGGTAGTGAGCCAAGGCAGCCCGATGGCGGGGCACATGACTGAGTCCCTTTCCAGCCTTGTCCAAATGACTGATCATGACTGATCATTACAAAGCGGTGAGGCCCGAATACTCATGATCTAAGAAATTACCTTCCGAAACCGACATTGTGCTTATTTAGGGGTACATCGTGGCATGTCCAGCTGTACAGAACTGTCAGAAGTAAGGCTTTAGTTGAGGCCCATGCATAAGGCCAAGGAAACAAAAGAAAAGAAAAAAGCCACAAAAAGGCGACACCTCAGGAGATAGCAAAAATGAACACCTTTTTTCATGACCCCATCATTAAAGACCCATCAAATCTGACAATTAAGAGTCTCACTGACATCGAAAA